AAAGATATTACTTTTCATAATAATGGGTCTGACTTCAATAAACTTTGAGATTTCAAAAAATCATAAAAACAAACTACTCGGTCCAGAAAAATGTAATATTTTAGACTCTGAGCAGAGTGATGAATGTACCTACGGATTTTACAACAATTGTGTTATTCTTTTCAAAAATTTTTTTCGTATCACCTTTTAGGGCAGTAAAAATGCTTATATTTTCTTCAACAGCATCATTTGTGATAGAAAATTGAATCAAGTTAGTACTTTGGGGCGCGTCAAGAGTAAAAAAAAATCCCAGTAGCTTAAAAAAGCATCGGAAAAACAAACAAAAAAAAAATTAATTAAAAATACTCGAAATCAATGTTTGACAAAATCGGTTTTGGTTTTTTTTTTTTTTTGTAACTTTAAAATAAATGACGTTAGATACATGCAGTCCCTCGTGTCTCTATTGTATAATATGTAAATAAACCTTATTGTCAAATTCTCGAGAGCGACTGACTGGTGTGAAAATATTTTAAAATTGGAACCTATTCACTATGGGCCTTCAAATGGTAATGCGACGCTTCAAAGTTTGGTCAGGAAACGATTATAATATATATTATAGTTGTGGACGAGAACTAACTCGGCTAGACATTCTATTCGTCGTGGACTTTAGATTTAGGTTAGTGTGATTCTGAACGACTTGATTGACGAAATTCGTCATGTCGAAACTTTGTTGACTTTTCAATGACAATATATTTTATATTTCTGAACCTGCAGACGCAGAATACTTTTCCGGGAATATCGACAACAGATATTTCGATGAAAAAAATTCGATTATCGGCCGTCGGTTAGGTCTCAAATCTATGAGATATCGTTGTTGGGAAAAAAAAAAAATCTTAAAGTTTAGTGGTAAACATTTGAAAGAATACACAATGCATACGAGATAAAAGTAACAACAATAATAATAACGCTGTACTTTGCAACCATTCTGGTCACACTCGTTATGAACCGCTTTTCGCTGTCATATACGTCACCTCGAAGTCACCTACATAAGCCGACTCGGACTTATCTTTTCTCCTTTCTTTAAACGTGACACGCATTCGTGTTTCCATATATTATTATTATTATATCGCGTCATATACTTGACAATATAGTGTGTACCTATCACTACGTTAATCTGGACGCAAAGTGCAACAATATTATTATACAAAGCAGACGTCAGGTCTGGTACGTGTAGTAATCGTGTGAATAAAATATAGGAGGGACGAATATAAAAGCAATATAAAAGTTTCAAAGTCCTTTTACTGCACGACGACACTAAAAGGCGATGTCGCGGAAGTAACTGTCGTGAAAATTCTTGATCTAGGGCAATTGGACGTTTGGACGTGAAAAAAAAAATAATAATATTAATAACGCATCGATACAAATATCAGTAGCAAACATAAAAAAAGGTGGGCAAGTAGGTTAGGAGTGGGTCACTGTATAATGGATGGTGTTAAATATTTGAATTCATTACAATTTCATTGTATAAGAAAAACGATTCTGATGGTCAGACAGCCTATGATATGCCCAAGTATATAATATATAAAAAAATAATATCATTAAATATTATTTGATGATATTATTTTTTTTTTTTATTGTTCTTGAAATTTACAATTTCTGCTTCGACAGCTAGGTCATTAGCATAGTATTATAAACATAATTACCTACATTTATAATATGGAAAGTAGAGAGAAAAAAAAGACAATAAAATAAAATAAATAAACAAATAAGATAAGACAGTTATAAATTAGTTATTTGGTATTTTGTACATTGTAAGTGTTGATTTAAAGTAAATTAAGTATTTTAATTGCTTTAAAAAATTTAATGGTGTCGATTTCGTTATCTGGATTTGGACCTAGACTAGTTCCAATTTGATGACTTATATTGAGATCCTCTCTTTGTTTTTCGTACATTCTACATTCTTCAAAGATGACATGATGATATTATTGTGAATAAAGTAATTTATATCATATAACATATTATTTGCGTGGAACCTTGTTTTAAATGTTTAATCCTTATAGCTATAAAAGTTGGACATTTTATACATTTTCGACTACAGAATAATTATTACATTTTAAATTTGATAAATTTTGTCAAAAATCGAACTTTAAATGCTTATAAAAAAAATTGTGCCTATGTATTTTTAATATATTTAAACCGCTATTGTAACAATATATTATCAAGAGCCTTGTATTACAATTTCACCCTTTTTGGCCAAACAAACAAAATGTTATTGATAAACATATAGAGAAAAAAAAATGAAAAAATTGAAATTTGCAATTATTGTCAATTGAAATTGTCCTTAAACTCCTTAAAAACTTCATAATAATTCGATAGGTACGTGGCTGTGAATTGAAATGGTGGTACGACAACCAGGACTTGAATAAAAAAAAAAAATTAATATTATTACTGCAATATGAATATTAAACGTTACGAACGAATGACTGCAGTTAAACATGTTTAACATTATAAATAGTTTAAACGTTATTAAATTTAGGTGTTTAAAAGTAACGTTATAAAAACGTTTTAAAGCCATGACGACCACACTATCACAGGCTCACGTCGTGTAAATTTGCCTTTATTATCAGCAGTGGCGTATTTTGGGGGGAGGGATGTCTAGGGTGTCTGGACACCCCCCAAACCAAACCAAAAAAAAAATTCAATCTTTAATTTGGACAAATTTCAAAGATAAATTGACAAATAAAAATATGTGGTTCGTTATGAACTATTTTAATATTGTATAAAGTCCTAAACTAATTAGGAAAGGAAATAAATTTAATTTTAAATTATGTACTTACTATATTTTTATATTTTTAATTATTTATAAAACTGTTATTCTTATAGCACCACTGGTATCGAATGCAACAAACAAAATATATAGTGATAATTATTAAATTATTGTGACCGATGACGATAACTATATAGGTACTAATGTATATTTATATGTTTAAATAATATCATGTTATTATTATCCTATTACAGTATACATGAAATTTATATTTTTATCTTGCTTCCCCGTGCCTTCATGTGTCTGTGTTACTTGTTTTTGTGTATATTTAGATATCAATATATTCCAATGATGTTTTTTTTTTAATATACTAATACGTTGGATCATAAATGTCCGTGTACATATTTTATTTTGAAACATATTATTGTTTATCAGTTGAATTTGAATCATTTTTCATTTAATCGTCGTCGAAGAAACAAGGCAGATAAAATATGGGTACGGTGAAATAGTAATATTGTCATATTATTGTCATTGGTGAGTACCTATATTATTTATGATATTTATTTTTCACAAGTGCACATAATTTGTAAATTAATATTCATTTAAATTAAAATATTATAATTAAGTATTTTTTAAACTATTATAATAGGCATATTATACCTATAATATTCTTTATCTAAATTATATAGAATCGTAGTATTTTTAAGGAGGGCTTGCATTTGAATACAATTTTTGCGTTTATCGTTATTCAGAATTGAAACGTTATCCAAGTTTTGCGTTTATCGTTATTTAGAATAAAAACGTTATTTTACCCAACATTTTCCAACAATCCAGTAAGTAATTTACTAATTAATTTTATTCAACATTACTACTGATGATGTTTTGAAGGCATTGAGCTTAAAAAAAAAGGCGTCTTGAATTTATTATTTAAATTAATTTATATAATACTTATAGTGTATTTATTATTTTCTATTTTCTATTTTAAAAATTACTATTATTTGCTTTTATTTTTATTTTTAAATTAAAATTATGTTTACAGTAGGTATTTTATACATGTATGACTTAAATTACATAAAAATTACTACTTTTAATTAATTAAATAAAAAATGTTTCATTACGATATTTGATGAGTATATTATGAACTTAGCGGTAGTAGATGTAAGACAGAGAAATATTGCAACCAATTAACAAATAAGTTTATACCTATATTATCTGGACACCCCCCCTCCCAAAAAATAAAAAATAAAAAAAATACACCAATGATTACCAATTTTTATTTTGTACGTGGACTTTTGATCTGAAGAATTATTGTCATTTAATTTTCCGTCGGCACTCAAAATACATAATTACGTAAGTATTATAGTGCAGTGTTGTGTGGATTATGTCTTATAAGAATATATTATTATGTTAACACTTCGAAGAAGAAAACGTGCATCACTATAGACAGTCAATTAATAATCAATTCGTTTTTAATGATTTTAATAAAATGTTTGGTTGATTTTTTTACAATTTTATGTGAATAAAACGTTTATTTTATTTGGTAATTTTTGGTACTTTTTTTATTTTTTTTATTTTTGTAAAAAATAAAATGTTTATAATTTGTTGTATTATATCTAAAAGTTTATATTTAGCCATAAATATGTACAGCAAGAAATATTTCAATAAAAAGGAAATTTCAAAAATTTCAAATTCATAATCCTAATCATAACTTTTTTTGTTGATGTTTTATATTAATTTTTGATGTATTATGATGACGTATAATGTAAATAATAAATAGCTGTTTTCGATACCGTGTTTCAATTTTTAATTGTCTTGCTTGTATTATTAATGGTTTTTTTTACGTCCCTATTCGACGTCTCGAGGACCACATTATTTTCAATTACTTATATTCTTCGCGCAACAGGTGAGGTTAGTATTTCCGTCTGTTAAGCGTAAGAATAGTGACAAAGCATCAGTTGATTTTTGTCGTACCTACTACTAACATAATGCCACATAATTATTATTATGGTGCAGTGCAGCGTGTTGTAACGAGTAACAACTAACAAGTGAACAATTATAATATAGCGTATATGAATAATAATAACTAAAATATTCTTATCGCGCGTCGAGGCAGGAAACTCGGTCTCAACGCAACCGAATTCCCTATTACTGCGGAGGCGGTGGTACTGATAACGAAACCTAATCCGTTATCACTTGGGCGGCGGCGGCGGCGGCACTGATAACGGCCGACGGCGGAACCGCGCTGCGCAGTACGATGATCGCGGCCGTGGCGTTGGGACTGCTTCAAGCGGCTGCGGCGATGGCGGCTGCGGCTGCGGCTGCACCGGGCGAGTTCCGGTTGACCGTCCTGCACACCAACGACCTGCACTCGCACTACGACGAGACCTGCCGAGGCGGCGGCGGCGGACCGTGCGGAGTGGCCGGCGGCCACGGCGGTTTCGCCCGGTTGCGCGGCGCGCTGGACGCCGAACGGGCGCGGGTGGCCGCGGACGGCGCGCCGCCGGCCGTCGTCCACCTGTACGCCGGCGACACGTTCCACGGCACGCGGTTCTACGACGTGCTCCGCTGGCAGCCGGCCGCCGAACTGGTCGGCGACCTCGGCGTGGACGCCATGGTACGTGACACAACCCGGTGCCGGGTATTAACCAGACGTGGTCGTAACGAGTTGATAGAGCGTCGAGTGTCCGGTTCCGGGACATTTGCGGTCGGCACATTTGGGGTCGGCACCTTTTGCGTGCCATTTGCGGTCAATTTATTTTTATCTACCTGACTATAAGATTTGGGTGCTATATATAATATTTTATATACTATATATACTTAATTTATGTTAATAGGTTTAATATTATAATACTTTTTTACTATAATCGATATAGTTATATACTTGTCAAATATATTATATTTAAACTTCCCTTCACACTTTTTTTAAGCATTTTTCTAAATCATTATCTAATTCTTTCGTCTAATTGTATGTACATTTTTTTTCTCCTTTTGCCTTCCATAGTCAAGAAGCTTCTTTCATATAAAAGTTCCGCATTTTCAGTCTATTTTTTAAGACAGCTATATAAGTTCATAAACGTTGGTCTCGGTGTATTTAATATTTTATTAAGTTTACTATTCCAACCCTCAACAATATTATTGGTTCTGTGTCTTCTTTTATGACAGTTCCACATTCCCCTTGAAATAATTGGATTTTCCAACCACTGTTCAATAAAATAAGTTTATCATTATCGGGTGTATTACTCATTATAATAATCCAACCTTCACCTATGTGACTAATTGGAATATGAGCTAAAGCAGAACACAATGAACACATTCTAACGTGTAATCGAATATCTGCATTATTTTTATATGTACTTGCTAATCCAATATTATGAATTTTTCTCCAAAGTGCTTGATTAAAATGAAAGTTGCAACCGTGTATTTTAGCACTAGGAAATATTTGTGTAATTGATTGAATAGTCGAGATTTCAAAGTCTAATGGAAAAGATTCAGGATTAAAATTTGGAATATGTGTTTTAACCATCGAAAATAAACGTTCGTAAATCATTTTTGTTTTATTCGGAAGTAATATATATATCACAGGTATTATATTTATTTCTTCGTTCGTAGACCCAATATCTATATGTATAGTGTAAATTTGGTAAAATTGTTTACTACAACTTTTAATGCCGAGGATGTTAAAAATTTTAAAAATAAAATAAAATATACGTAAACGTTATCACCTTATCGATAATGACATCATTTTTTTATAATAATTATAATAAGGTTTTAAAAAAAAATAGGGTATGTTTTTTATGTAAGTACAGTGAATTTTGATTGACAAGTATATAATTATATCAATTAGAGTAAAAAAGTATTATAATATTATACCTATTAACTTAAATTAAGTATTTAGTGTATAAAATATTATATATAGCACCCAAATCTTATAGACAGGTAGATAGAAATAAATTGACCGCAAATGGCACGCAAAAGGTGCAGACCGCAAATGTCCCGACCGCATCGGTGCCGACACCGAGTGTCCATCTCGACGCCTCTCGACCCCGACTTTACCGGTCTTAGCGGTTTAACATTATGATATTATTTTTAATCGAATACCAATCATTTCTTATGAGACGTGTCAAGTCAGTCAAGTCAGTCAAGTTAGTCAAGTTTCGATACTCCTCGACGTCATCACTTACCGGTCCGGTGTTTTGATTGACTCGACTTTGACTTAACTCGGTCGCCTATCTACCGGCTCCGTTGTATCAAAATCGATTTATAATTTTTTTTACTCGGAATTTGCATATACCTAATTACCTAATCCAGACGAATTTTTTTTTTTTTAAGTAAAACTTCTTTCTCGAGGTGTGGGTGGAAAAAAAATCGTAACCAAGAATGGAAAATTGAAACGACGCGTCTGTTTATTTACGTATTTTGCAAGTCATGCACGTTTATTTTTGTTTTATTGATTTTTCTCACTGTCTCCCTAATTTACTCATAATTTCCCATTACTTCTGAAAGAAATTGAAATTCCCCAAAGTGTAATGGTGGGCTCACACACTATTTGTATTACTGTGAGACGTGTCGGGGCACCGATGAGTTAACAATAGTTAAAAGTCGAGTTGGCTTCGATACTTCTCCTTAACGTAACTTACCGGTCCGGTGTTTTGGTTGACTTGAATTTAACTAAATTCGGTGGTCTCTCTACGTGCCATTAAATTAAAATAAATTAATAATTTGTTTATTTAAAATTTGCATATATCCTGACGAATATCTTTTTTTATTATAGTGACACACGTCTGGGCCTCGAGTATCGACTAAGTTAAGATTTGAGTTAATTTTAATACTTCTCTTCTAGACTTAGGAGTTTTAGTCGACTTAACTTCGCGACTCGTTAGCGCCTCGTCGCGAGTTATTAAATCAATATTTTTTTTTTTTTTTATTATTCCCGATAAAATCAATCTAGAATTTTTATATCGTCCAGATAAATATTAATTATTTTTTTATCACCGTGGGACGTGTGGGATGTTCGACTAGTTAACAATAGTTAAATTTCTAGTTAGCTTCGATACTTCTCAACTTCACTGACCGGTCCGATGCTTTGGTTGACTTGACTTTAACTTAACTCGGTCGCCTCGCTAAGTGCCAATAAATCAAAATCAATTTATAGTTTTTTTATTTGTAATTTGCATATCATCCAGAGTATTTTTTTTTATTATTGTGACACATGTGTGATCGTCAACTAAGTTAATTTCCATACTTCTCGACTTCACTTGATCGCTTTGGTGTTTTACTTGACTTAACTTTTACTTGACTCATAATATGCCTCCCTACTTTAATAATAATTTTAAACCAACTTCTTTTTTTTAATAATTCCAATCCATTGTATATTGTATATAAATTCATATTACCCTGACAAATATTTTGTTCATTGCCGTTTACACAGTGATAAGGTATTATTTAATATACCTCGTCGTAGAATATGTAAAATATTATAAGAAAATAATATGAGTTATTTAAGACGAATATTTAAGACGAATATTTATATTTGTGTGGACAAAAACTAAATTATTATTTTCATTAGTTAGCTTTTCTGTTTATATTAGTTTCTAGAACATACCACCTAAAAGAGGAAACATTTAGTCGACCGTATAATGATAATATAACAACGACCTGCTAACCAATTAATAATAATAATAATAATAATAGTAGGTAATCATAATACCTACTTATTATTATGATTATCAGTGTTATTGATATGAATATCATGAATTGTGCCCATTTAAATTTATATCGGGCTATAATTTTATCATCGAACACTCAATATTTCAAAAAGTAGAAATTTTTTTGAGTTTCTATAGTATATATTTAAAGTTTCTATAGTTGTAAAAAACAACGTTTTGAAAAATTAAATATCTATTTTTATTTTAATATTTTATATCCTCGACCTTTTTTTATGTTTTTTTTGAATGACAACTGCCATTTCATATTTCAGAGCAGAATTTTTTCCAAGTATTTTAATGCATAAACACCGAATTTGGGCCGAGTAGTCTATGATTCATAAATATTTAAAGTCAGTGGTTACCCCTGATGATAATGGTCCACTACTGCACTCATCAAAAAATTAAATACTTACAACTCATAAACTACTCGTCCTAAATTCAATTTCTATGTTTTTTCAAAACGACTTGAAACCACTCAAAAAATAAATTATTTTCAAAAACATTTATACTTTTTTGAATATTTTTCTACTTTAAAGTAACCACGATGTAAATTATAATTCATATTATTATAATCATAAATTTCCCATGTTGGTATATTATACGCACATATTTTTTACAATTTTTTTTTAAATTCTCCGTCCATTACTGTAACATATTGTCACCGCTCAAAATTATTTAATTATATGATAATTGGTACGTTGTACTTGCATCTTAGTGCACAATACGTCTTATGCCCTGAATTTCGTATTTGTTTTTAATAAACTTAATTCATAAAGCTACTCAGTCAGGTCAAATCGATGGTATTGGTTAACTCGGTTGAAATGAAAAAAAGCTGACTAAACACGAATGAAAAAAAAAAAACGTTAACAACTCGCCCAGCCTTGGATCAATAATAATAATATAAACTTTCATCACAAACATAATTTTTTTCGAATGAGATTACATTTTTAATATCATTCATTAAAATGTACAAAATTATATGAGCCATAAAGTAGGTACCTATTAAAACAGTGGAAGACAACATTGCAATCGGGTTTCAGACACTCGTTCTAAGGATTATCGTTTATCATAGTAAAATTACGAAGTTTATTTATAGAACGCAAATAATGTAATGACCTTATCTATTCTATAGAATATAAAATATTATCATATGAAATACAACATATATTTTATCAACATTTTATTTTGTTCTATACTTCTCATTCATCAATTTTTATTACAGGTCTTAATTAAATTAATGACGAACGATATAATAATATAATTTTGAATTTTCCAAAGTTGTTTTACCAATTAGACAGAATAAGACTATGTTGTTTTTCTTATTTTAGGCCCCTATTTCTTGTGGGCAAAGGAGGCTTTTGCCCCCTCCCCCTTTAATCCAGATCTTACGTTGGTTCGTGATATTATGTCATAATCAGAGCTCAACAGAGGTTATTTTCCCTCTTATTTTTCATCAACAATGTAGTTTAGTTGGTAGAAATTCGATTGCTAGATTTTTAAATATGCTCAAATACCATATTTTCTAATTCTTGAAATTTTTCGTAATGCTATTTAGTGTCCTTGCAACCCATGGAGATACAAATTTCTGTTTTTCAAACGAGTAGCCCATTTTCTGCTGTAAATTATTCGGCAGATGTTCTTTCTGAAATTTTGATCATTCAAATAAGAATTCAGACGAGTTTCGAACCTGTAGAGTAATAAATAGTAATAAATAAAGTAATTAAACCCATAAACTGATATTATATTGTACTGCACTATTGCACAGGGTTCGAGTATTGAACTTATATTTCACTTTGAAATATTCCAAACTTTAAAATTTTACACTTCTTTTACCTATATAAGTTATAAGTTCTAACTGTATAAAATATTACAGTTATGTAAGTGCGTTCTATAGTAAAATAATTATTTT